TCACAAATGCAGACATGGTTTTATGTTTTCGCGGCGCAATACGCAACGCAATGCGTAAAAAGACATTATAATCAGTAATTATGTCCCCACTGGATGCAACAAATGCCTCGTTTGTAATGGGTTTTATTGGTGTTGTCTCGTCGTGCTGGGAGATGGCATCACAGTATGGTAAGGGGCGTAACATTTCCGTCACACGCTTGAGTCATTCGGCCAATCGCAACGCACTGGATAGCTGGCCAATCAGCGTACACCTCGCTTTTCAGAACGATGAGCTTTGTAAAAATCGACGCGCTTCAGAAAGGCGGGGCATAGAGGAGCAGCAATAATGTACATTATGTGGAAAATAATGTGTTTTTTGAACCTTAAACCGCATAAACACATTGCATTACACCAAATACACAACATAATGTTATTTTTAGCAACGTCATGTGACCCCTTTAATGTCCCAGTTTTCCTCCAAACTCCAAATGCTTTCCTTAGTCAATAAAAGTAATAGATTTTTTGCTGGTTTGTGATCTTGGTTTTGTTCAGTATTGGTGAACTCGAGGATTTCATGCTCCGGGCGGAATCCAGGCTTAAAGAGCCGTTATGCGGTGGAGACTACCAGGCTCTTGTGCAGGTGATGGGTTACCTGCTGGAGATCAGAGACAGGCAGACTAGTACAGACCAGCTTTTTGAACCTGTCATTGATGTGGTCAATCTTCTGGAGCAGTATGGAGAAACCCTACCTGAGTGTGTTCACATGCAGCTTGAGGTGAGAGTATTTGACAGCTCTTAAGACTAACTATTAAATGGGAATTATGTAAAGAGATGGCCATTTTAAGGATGTCATCTTTGTGTATCTGTTTTGTCATGACCTTTTTTTGTAAAGTTATGTCTGCTTTGCATCTACATTACCATTTAAAATTTTGGGGTCAAAAATATATATTTTTTTGAGAGAGAGATATTCATTCAGCAAGGATGCCTTAAATGGATCAAAAGTCACAGTAAAATCACAGTATTAAACTACTTGGCACAAGCTGATTGGTTCATGTTGCATACGCAGCCAATAAGCTTGCTGCTTTACATTTAAATGGCTGGTTAGCATCCACTAGAGCATTTTGCAGTGCGCTTTCAGATTTACTCTGAAACCCTCCACCTTCCCCAGCTCCACTTGTATAGATCTGCTACGGGTTATAATATACGCTACTTGTGCAGCAGCAGTATGTCTTCAATACTCACAGCACCGCATCAGTGTTTAACATTGTCATATCCATTACCATGCTAAATCTTCAACGACTTATGATAGAAATGCTGTTCTTTTGAAATTTATTTTCATCAAAGAACCTTGAAAAAAGTGTATCATGTTTTCTGAAAATTCAGCTAAAATTCAGGAATAAATTACATTTATTAGCAATATATTGAAATACAAGCCAGTTATTTTCAACTGTAACAACATTACTGTTTTACTGTATTTTAGATCAAATAAATGCAGCGTTGATGAGCATAAGAGACTTAAAAAAACAACAACTTACAAACCCGAACCTTTTGAACGAGAGTGAAGTTATCTATTCACAATACAAATCTCTAAATTAATTTGAATTAAAATATATGAAAAATTTATATTTTTTCCCAAAAGTCTGAGACTACAAGTAAGTTTTTTCCCCAGCACAAATTATATAATCATTTGAATAATATTTTAAGTGAGAAGTCAATTATATATACAGTGGGTACGGAAAGTATTCAGACCCCCTTAAATTATTAATATGATAGAAAATATTAGAAGATAATACTATTTAGCAAATTTCTACATGAATATCAGTCTTTCGTACTGTACATTGTATTATTGTGATGCCTAAATTCACTTGTAGGATTTGAAATGATTGATTAAAGTTTTTAGCATTGGCCATGCCATCTAAATAATTAGCAGTTTATTATTTTTCCCAGAATTTTAATATGCTTGCATTACTTGAATTACTAAAATGTTCTGGATGAAGAACGTTTACTCAACTGTAATGTATTTAACCGTATCAGGAGTTGCCAGAGAAGTGGAACAACATGAAGAAGTTGGCCTGGGCATTGAAACATGAGGTTGCTCCTCTTCATACTGCAGAGGTGGCTGTTATCCGCAGGAAGTGTGTGACCTTTGAGGTGAGGTTCTCATTTGCTGATGGCTTAATAGTGATTCAACTCTAAACTTTCAATTCTTTAAGCAAAATGAAATGTTTTTAGGTTTAAAAGTCTGAAGGTTTTTTATTGCAACTTAAGGATAAATATGCTTATGTTTTTGCTGATTCATGTCTCTCTTCACAGAAAAAGCTGAGTCAGTTTCGAGAAAGGTTTAAAAGAGAAGCTCCTCTCCAGTACAACACAGAGAAACCATATGCTCGCCTGGATAAAGTAACTGATTATTGATTCTAATTTAAACAAACCATCATACCACATAAGTAATTTTCATTCATTTACATACATTGACCTTTTGTTTATGCTGTGTTTGTTAGTGTCACAGGGAGATGCTAGGTTTAGAGGAAGAAAACGCAGATCTCCAGGAGTCCTGTAAGCTGTTTGAAGTGAGCAGCCCTGATACTAAGCAGCTCAGGCTCTGTCAGAGAGACATTGCTGTTTTGAAACAGCTCTGGGATCTGCTGCTTTGCACTCAGGTGGTGATTTCATTTTTACCCAAAATAAAATACTTGAGCTTTCAGTTTTGCTTGAAGTGTCCACTTAACCTAATGCTGTGTCCTCACAGTGCAGTATAGCAGAATGGACAGGGACAATATGGAGAGAGATCAATGTAGAACAAATGGAAACAGAGCTGAGGAGGTTTACAAAAGTAAGAATGCTTCATTCAGTGTCCTAGAAAGCACCAAAATGTATATTTTTTGGAAGTGTTTTTAGTGCTTGTCTATCAGCTCTGTGTGTTTCTAACATCTGACTTCATGTCTGTCCAGGAAATGTGGGTTCTTGATAAAGAGGCCCGTGTTTGGGATGTGTATGTGAGTCTGGACTGTGTGCTCAGGGATCTGTTGGCTTCTCTGAGGGCTGTGACAGAGCTGCTGAACTCGGCCATGAGAGACAGACACTGGGCCCAGCTGGTCAGGACTACTCGGGTGAGAAAGAGGGTGGCAAATGTGCAATATAAATGCTATTTATCTTAGAGACTGGAAAACATATTTACTGTACTGTATTTTATGAACTATTTCAAATGTGTAGATTAAACAAACCTATACCACTCATGGTAACATTTTAGTTTTAAACAATTAAAGTTTTTTTTTTTTTTAGCAATTTTGTTATTTACTTTATCTTTACATTATTCTAAGTCAGGTTTTTTTTCTTTCCTTGAACATTTTTGAGGTTGATTAACTTCTTTTGTATGTAAAACGTAGTGCTGTCAAATGATTAATCACGATTAATCGCATCCAAAATAAAAGTTTTTGTTTACATAATATATGAGTGTGTGCTGTGTATATTTATTATGTATATATAAATACAAACACATGCGTGTATATACTGAATGTGTGTGTGTGTATTTATATATACATAATAAATAAACACAGTACACATACATATATTATGTAAACAAAATGTTTTAATTTGGATGCGATTAATCGCGATTAATCGTTTGACAGCACTAGTAAAAAACAACTTCAGCATTCTGCTAAACTTTTTATTTGTGTTCAGTTTACTGTAAAATATATTAAAAAGGTATAGATGAATCCTGCACACTGCTATAGCTTGCAAATAATATTTGAATTCAACTTTCGGTCATGTGACTTTCATCAGACATTGTCTTGTTTTTCAGTAAAAATTTCTAAACATTTTAAAAATATACATTTACTTTCATTTTTACTTTTCATTCTTAATTTTATTACTTAATTCAAAATTCAAATAAAAAAAATCAGATTTTTTATATGAGATAGCCTCACAAAATGTTGTTAAATTTCGCTGAAAACAGCACTTACTATCATGTCATTTTGCTCCTTAAATATTTGTATATTGTTTTAGGGATGTTTACATATTTTTCTGGAAGACAACATAATAATAATAATAACAACAACAACAAAACAACTATTATATTTTATTATTATTATTATTATTATTATTAGTGCAATACACCACATGCGGGCCAGTAAATGATGACAAGTGATATTTCTTTCATCGTTTTTTTACTCATGTTCAATATTAGTTTTCACATGTTTTTATACTGTTCTTTTAGGTTGATTTCACTCTAACTGAAGAAACATCTCTTGAGGATTTACTGGCTTTGCAGCTGCACAGATATGAAGATGTGGTGCACAGTACAGTTAGGAGAGCAGTCAAAGAGATGTCCACTGAGAAGGTTCGATCTCTCACAAGACTTTATTTGCTTTGATACATTTCTGAAAATAAGAGTAATGATTTATTAATTTAACTTAAAGGTTTTGACTGAAATCAGCCAGATGTGGACACGGATGGAGTTTTCCTATGAAGAGCATTACCGTACCGCTGCACCAATGCTGAAATGCAGTGATGAACTTATTGAGAGTCTGGAGGACAGTCAGGTATGAATATCTCTGAAATGCCACATGGATTTAGCTGGATGGTTTGAACCAAATCTTACGCTGATAGCATGCTCACTTAGCATATCAGAAAATGTTAACAAGCTGTTGCTTGGCAAAATAAGCTTGGTGCGGCCGGGGTCTTTATCTCCTTCTCTAAGACCGTCCCACTATGCCGAGAGAACGATCTTTAATTGTCAGCCGCCTGTATTCACACGTCTGATTTATAGAGACCACACATTGCTGGCTTTGTTATCACGCTGTATGTGTAGGGGCCAAAATCTAGCCAAACACAATAAGTCTGCCGTCTGTGCGAAACCGGCCCCCTTACACCCACATGTCTGAAAACATTAAAGACAGCAGAAGGGCACTAACACAACATGGACACAAAAACAACATAGGCACATCGCACTGGAGAAACCAAAACTCAAATATTTTTTGGATTACTTTTTGCGAGCCTAACAAGAGTCAAGCCTCATCACCTCCAAATGTGATTTGAACTTTAGGCTGTAAACTATTCATCTTTTTAATGTTATTTTAATGTTTTAGTGTTATTATCATTTTTATTATTTGTTTATTTTGCCATTATGAACACAGTAACGATACATCAACATCAAAAACAAATACAAAGTTCAGACATAATTGCATGTAATACAATAGGAAATAAAGGTTTTAAAAAGTTTCTTTCTAAGAGTAATTATTCTGTTTTATTCACGCTAATTCCAATGCTTATATTTTCTCTGATGAAAAAAAAAAATTCAGATACCTAAATGAATTGTTTGCCGTTTAAATAAATAAATTAAATAACTAACTAACCTCAGAATATAAAAAAGGCAAATAATTTCATTTCATTTCAGACTCAACTAACCTCAGAATATAAAAAAGGCAAATAATTTCATTTCATTTCAGACTCATTGTTAAGGTGTTTATTTATTAAAGTGCCCCTATTATGCCATTTCCAATATTGCCTTTCATGCAGTGTCTAATGTAGCTGTATGTGAATGTAAACGATCTGCAAAGTTGTAAAGCTGAAAGTGCACGATAAATAAAGTTATTGTCTCCCAAAATAAAGAATCGACTCTGAACAGATGAAACGAGTATTTAGTAATTCGAATCCCACTTCCGTGATGGCTACACATCACGGGGTAACACATTTGCATAATGCGCGCCTATGTTCTACGTTGGCTGGCCGCGAACAACTTGACCCCGCCCACAAACACGTCATTCTACTGACGACTGCTTCTCTAATCTCGGGGAATTCTACGCGGGATTCACAAAAGCTTGCTGTTGAAAGATGGATCCGTATCCTGTTTATTTAGACCAGCTGCTCCACTGAATCACAACCTCTAAGTATGATAAATAATAGATGTTTATATTTTCTATAGAGCGTTCAAAATACAGATCTATTGAAATAGGTGTATCGTTTCTGACACGCGCTGTACACCGTAGACCAATCACAACAGACTAGGCCATCTGACCAATCAGAGCAGAGCAGGCTCACGGAAAGGAGGAGTTTAGAGAGACTGAATCTTTTAACTGCTTTGAACGAATCGAGGTGATATTAAATGCATATTTTGAGAAAACGAAAGCGTTTTTTGACCTTGCATGCATGTAATCCTATTGTAGGAGACTCCCAAAACAATATTAGGAACCGTAAAAATGGCATAATAGGGGCACTTTAAACAATATATATTCACTAAAAATGCATTTTATTTTCTTTGGACTTTGTGTACAACTCCATTTTCTAAATAAATCCATTGCCAAAAGTATAAGACACTATTTTAACTAATTTGGCTTTTCCAGTGATTCCAGTGAAGGCATATCTTAAAGCATACAATGGCATTTTAGAAAATTGTGGGCCTCTAATTTCTTGTGTCTTAATGAAAGCCTGAATCACTGACAGATGAGTGGGATCAGTTAAGGAGGACCAACTTAGGTTTTATAGATCATAAAAGATATATGATATAAGATATATAAGATAACTTTATATAAGATAGATTTATAACTATAAGAAACTGTACAAGAAACTGTTCAACCTGGTGGCTGCTGATAATATGCATCTCTATATGTTTCTCTCTCAGGTGCAACTGCAGGTGTTGCTGCACAGTAAGCAGGCGGCGTTCTTCCATGGGCAGGTGTTGGAGCTACAGGCCCAGCTGACTCGGGCTGACTCAGTGCTGTTGCTGTGGCTGGAGGTGCAGAGGACCTGGGCTCACCTGGAGAGCATCTTCATGGGCTCCGAAGACATTCTCCACCAACTGCCAGACGAGGCACATCAGTTCAGCTCCATTGATTCTGACTTTAAGGTATGCTTGAATTCATCTCACATGCACTGATTACTGGTGTCCTGCATGGAAAGTTTTAAGGTTAAGGTATGTGAGTTTTGTAAAGGTTTGTTGAACATAAAAGATATTCAGAATGATAAGTGTAGGGGTCAGTTGTTTTTTTGGTTAAGCTCATTTTGAAATGTTAATATGTAAAAAATATTCTATTGAAATTAAACGAAACATAACATGTAGTGCATAATAAAACCAAGATATGTCTTTTTTTCTGTATAGATTAATAAATTATTGTTTTAAATTGTATAGTACGTAAGAGCAGTGACACAATGCCTTGCTCATGGGTTTAATTCCTAAAGACCACAAGTACTGATGAAATGTAACCTTGAAGTTGCAATGTAAAAAAAATGCTGGTTTATATTAGTACTACAAGTAAAATAAGTTAATTATTAATATAATAATATTTATATTATATTAAATAGTATTAAAGGGGTCATATGATGCTGCTAAAAAGAACATTATTTTGTGTATTTGGTGTAATGAAATATATGTGACCCTGGACCACAAAACCTGTCATAGGTAGCACGGGTATATTTGTAGCAATAGCCAACAACACATTGTATGGGTCAAAATGATCGATTTTTCTTTTATGCCAGAAATCATTAGGATATTAAGTAGAAATCATGTTCCATGAAGATATTTCGTAAATTCCTATCGTAAATATATCAAAAGTTAATTTTTGATTAGTAATATGCATTGCTTAGAACATAATTTGGACAACTTTAATGGCGATTTTTCTTAAGTTTTGATTTTTTTTTTTTGCACCCTCGGATTTCAGATTTTCAAATAGTTGTATCTCAGCCAAATATTGTCATATCTTAGCAAAACATACATCATATTCATTCAGCTTTCAGATGATGTATAAAACTCAATTTAAAAAAATTGACCCTTATGACTGGTTTTGTGGTCCAGGGTCACATTAAAAGTAAACTTGTACCAATTGCAGTGATGTTCGTTCCACTTTTGACCATTTTGAATTTAATTATTCATAGAGAAAATTGGTAAAATGGAGTGGAAAATAATTAATTAAATTAAATTAAGGCCCCGTTTAATATTAAAGTGTCTTTAACTACTACATGCTAATATTTAAATTATTTATTTGATACAGTGCACTTATTGTGTATGCACGTTTAATCATTGTAGTTATATTTAAAAAAAAATACCTTCATGTAATTTCATCAGTAATTAATTTTTGACTCTTTAACCCTCCCTTAAACCTACCTATACCATTAAACCTTAACCATATCCCACTTAAATGGCAGCAAAGGTGTTTAGCAAGTATATTGTACCTAACAATAATTTTTTTTTTTATTTAAAGTAGGACAAGGCATTATTTAAATTAAATTAAATTAAAGATGTTGTTATAATGATGAAAACATTACAGTGTGCATGCATTTGTCAAGTATGTAAATACTTGTGTATATATATTTACTTTTGTGTATTGATGTGTGAAGGACCTTATGTTCAAAAGTGACAAAACAAAAAATGTAATTGCTGCCACCAACAAGCCCAATCTTCTTCCGATGCTTGAAGATCTGCAAAGGAGGTCTGTGAAAATTTAAGTTTACTCTTTTTAAGTAAACTCTTTTTAAGAACTTTGCACGGTTACACATTATCTTAAGAGAGATGCATAGAGAATTCTGCTGATTTCCTGTTGTCCATTCTAGACTGGCTGTATGTGAGAAGGCACTAGCCAAATACCTGGAAACCAAGAGAATGGCTTTCCCACGATTCTATTTCCTCTCTTCAGCAGACTTACTGGACATCCTTTCTAAAGGCAGACAGCCCAGACAGGTACTGCTGTATTAGTTAGCATTTAACTTTAACTTCATTTAACTTCATATAACAGTCTGTCTATTAGTTTGAATTAGTTTGAAAGTTTAATTTGTTTCAGATATCTCTAATTATACAGCTCATTTCAGTATCACAGTAATCCATAAACAGGTCATCTATAAAGTATGCAGTCTTTACTGGTATTTGTAATAATGGTGACCGAGATTCACAGAAATGTGTTTTACATTGTACCATATTTCCTCATCTTTCTTCTCATTTGCATACAGTAACCTTTATCTCCATGATTAAACTTTTTTATCATCACAGTGATAATTCCAAGGGCAGTGCTTCGCTGTGAAATATCATTACGATAAAAAAATGAAAGTTCTACACTCGGATTGATTCTGACCCTGGCCACCTCCTTCTTTGAGCCGATCCTCCCACATATGTGCAGGTTTTCTCCTGAACCGTTCAACCAGAACAGGGTCAAAGTGCTTCATCTTGTTCTCATTGAACCTCGGTTATAATAAGAATTGCAAATACATCCACAATCATATCATTATCTACGGATATGCCCGTACTTAACCATACATAACTGTGCAGATTGATTCACAGAGGTGCTGTGTACAGTATATTGTTCTGTGAAAACAATGCTTTATGGTTCATTGGTTTTTAGGTTACCTGTCACCTGGGTAAGCTGTTTGACAGTATGACTGATCTGGAGTTTTCTGACAAGGAGGGGGAAAAGGCCACAGCAGCGGTGGGAATGTTCAGCAGAGACGGAGAATATGTTCCATTCTATTCACCGTGTGACTGCGTTGGACCGGTAAAACCCACATTCAAATCAAACTGGCATCTAATTAAATCAAACTCGGATATTAAAGTTGTAACTTTTTTTTTTAAAGTTAAAGGCAAACTTAAAAAAAAAAGAAAAAATATTTGATTAAATATGAATATAAATGTTGTGTTAAAATATGTTGATTATATATCTATTAAATACAATCAAATATTTTAATTAAATAATACAATTCTTTAATTAAATATGGGTTTAATTAAATCTACATAAACACCAGTTACACTTTGAAATATACATACAGGTAGAAATAACTTTAATGTAAAAATTAAGATATCCCAGCCTTTACAAAACATGGTATTATATAGGAAAAAAGAAAAGAAAAAAGATTATTTCTTACGGAGTGAGCTGTTTCCTGTCAGGTTGAGCTCTGGTTGAAGTGTCTGGAGGATGTGATGAGGGAGGGAATGAGGAGGCACATAGCCGAGGCCGTTGTCGTATATGAGGAACGTTCGCAGGAACATTGGGTCTTGGAGCTGCCGGCTCAGGTGGTTCTCACCGCCTCTCAGATCTGGTGGTCCGCTGACATGAATCTTGCATTTGAGCGGCTGGCCGAGGGTTTTGAGACGGCACTCAGAGACTACAACAAGAAACAGGTCAGTCGGTCATATGTATACAGTATTGCACACTTTTTTTTAACACGTTCATAATTGTGAATCGACTGAATGAATGACACAGAGTAGATTCTTGTTCATGAATGAGATGTCTCTTTCAGAGTTGTGTTCACACTGAAAACATTGACTCTTAATTGGAATTTTTTTTTATTAAATAAAAAGCATACAGTGCAAATCAGTGTCATCTGGTTCACAAACAAATGACTCTTATGAGCCAGTTCTTTTTAGTGAATCAAAAACAGACAGCACAACCAGTGTAGTCCAGTTCACAAACAAGTGTGTCTTATGTGCCATTTCTTTTTTAGTGAAGCAAAGACATGCCATACAACTCGTATAGTATGGTTCATGAAAACTGACTCTTATGAGCCAATTCTTTTTAGTGAATCAAAGACATGCCAATTCCTTTTAGTCAATCAAAGATATGCCACACAACCTGTGTACTGCGATTCATGAACAAATTACTTATATGTGCCAGTTCTTTTTATTGAATCAAAAACATACAGCACAACCGGTGGAGTGTGGTTCACAAACAAATGATTCCTATGAGCCAGTTCTTTTTAGTGAGTCAAAATCATACCACATAAGTAGTGTAGTACGAAAAACATACAGTACAAACAGTGTAGTCTGGTTCACAAACAAATTACACTTATGAGCCAGTTCTTTTTAGAGAATAAAAAACATACAGCACAAACAGTTTAGAGTGGTTCATGAACTAATGTCTCTTATAAGAATTTTTTGGTGAATCAGAAACATACAGGTCAAACATTGTAGTCCAGTTTGCAAACAAATGACTCTTATGAGCCGGTTCTTTTTAGTGAATCAGAGACATGTGACACAACCTGTGTACTACGATTCATGAACACATTATTCTTAAGGCCAGTTCTTTTTAGTGAATCAAAAACATACAGCACAACCAGTGTAGTGTGGTTCACAAACAAATGATTCTCATGAGCCAGTTCTTTTTAGTGAATCAAAAATACACTGCACAAACCGTTTAGTGTGGTTCATGAGCAAATTACTTTTATAAGACCTTTTTTGGTGAATCAGAAATGTACAGGGCAACAATTTGTAGTCTGGTTTGCAAAAAATTGACTCTTATGAGCCGGTTCCTTTTAGTGAATGAAAAACATAGTGTAACTTGTTCACAAATAAATGACTCTTATGAGCTGTTTTTAGTGAATCAGAAACATATCAAAGAACCATTGTAGTACGATTTACAAACAAATGATTTTTTGTGAGCCCCTATTTTTAGTGAATCAAAAACATGCCATGTGTTGTCCATTTCAGGAACAAATAACTCTTAAGACCCTTTCATTTTGAACAGGAGATTTACATTATTGCAGATCCTAAAAGTCTCCAGTCCTTCCTGCTCTTGTATGTAGACCCATTACTTTTCTAGGTAGCGCTAGACGTTTTTTTCAGGCACAGATAGAGCACATCTAAAGTATGAACGAGGCAATGATGAAGCCGTCGAAAACACACTCCTGCTTCTTCATTGTAAGTATGATGAAGTGAATAGTGCTGATCCGTGTAGACTGCCACAAGCATGTCCACATATCGTCCCTGCAGCGTCAGGATCTGTCATCAAGCACAGGGAAGGTTAGCATGTCCTTGGCCGGCGTTTGAATAATCTGCCTCTTTCCCTTCAAGCCCCTGATTGGAGTCGCTGTCATACAGCATGGGGTGATAAATGCAGTACAACCTAAGCTGCTTTTACACCAAATACAGGCAGGAAGATTACATCTCATTTGCCTGTCTGTGACAGGGACAGGCAGAAGATCATGACCCTGTGCACCATAGATGTTCACGCCAGAGATGTGGTCTCCAAACTCATCGCTCAGAAGGTTGGGTCATGTTTACTGCGCTTCGTAAATAATGATCATGTCGACTAAAGGATGCTCTGTTTCCTTGTTTTAAATCATTTAGTGGTGTTTGGCACTCAGTCATTATTTTAATGGGCTTTAAATTGACAAACAGTAATTGATTAATTAATTGAGTTGGGAGCATTTAGACTTTTTATCTCTCTTGAAGTACTAGAGTTGTTTTATTAAGTGTTTGAGAACGTTTTTATCCAGGTGAGCAGTGCTCAGGCGTTTGCCTGGGTTTCTCAGCTCCGCCACAGCTGGGATGAGGAGCAGAACCACTGCTTCATCAACATATGTGATGCTCAATTTCGATATTCCTATGAATATCTGGGCAACACGCCTCGTCTGGTCATTACACCTCTTACAGACAGGTAACTTAACAGCTAATGGTTTGCACTAACTAAGCTAAACTAATTTGACATAAATGTTGTTTTTTTTTTTTTTTACTTTATTTTGATTTTTGATTTTACAAGAAAATGTATTATGTAGTATTAAGGAAATACAGGGAAAAAAAACCAATCAAACAAATAAAACAATAGAACAAGAGGTATCCACTATATTTTTGTAGTAACACTTTATAATATTAATATTATAACAGATCAGTAGTTCATGTAAATTCCAATTTGCATTTATTAAATATGCATTTATTTAAATTTATAAATACATTTCTTTCTTTAAAATAAATTTCTTTTCTTTTTTGAAGAAGAGCATTCTTTTTTTCTTATTTGAAACTTTTTACCATACCTTCAACTGTTGTTTTGGTCTTTTTTTTTAAATGACCTTTCTTTAGATTTTATTGTTTTACCCTTGTCACAGATAAATGAAAAGTCGTTATATAATTATTATTACACTTAAAAATGTTGAAATTATCATTTTTTAAATTATTTTTTTTATATAAGTTTAAAATATTTTATATAAGATTCCCAAGACCGTAATTTCCACAGTGACTAACAATTAAACCCTTGAAAAAAAAATTTCTTAAAAAAAAAAAAAAAGAAAAAATAACACATTGTACTTGGTTAGGGAGAAAGAGTATTGGTAAAGATATTTGGATTTAATTTTAGGCAAGAAATGTAATGAAAACAAAGAAAAATCAAGGTAAATAGTATATTTTTATTGTACATTTTAGCTGTAATTTTGTAAAATTATGCAAAAAAAATTTTTTTTAACTATTGTTAGGTGCACATACATACCATGCTAGCCATGAAAATTTCATAATGTAATTAGCTGTAACACATCAGAAGAGCCATTATATAACAAACATGTTTGAAAAGTCATTCCCACCCACATCATTTCCACCACATAATGCAGTTAATCACAAAAACGTACGGTAATTTGAAATGGAAGTGATATGATGTTTATGACTTTTGAAAAAATAGTAAAAAGTATGTTTGTTAATGTTATAAACAAGCCTCACCATAACTGTATCTATATATTGTTTGAGGTTGCATTTTTGTAATTGCAGATGCTATATAACACTGACTCAGTCACTGCACTTGACGATGAGCGGTGCTCCAGCGGGACCGGCTGGCACAGGAAAGACTGAAACCACTAAAGACCTGGGCAGAGCTCTGGGGGTCATGGTGTACGTCTTCAACTGCTCTGAGCAGATGGACTATAAGGTAAACATACCAGCAGAAATGGGACTCAGCAACCTCAGGACAATTATGAGTGTATTCTCGCTTCAGATGAGCTCCTAATGCATATAATTACTTTGCCGAATAGGATTCTGCTTCTTAATTGAAAGAAATCAATGAGTGATTGTTTGAAACTTTATCACAGTTGGCTGATGTTTTGTTTTGTGAGTTTTGTCCTTAAATACTGTTGGTTTAGTTCTTTTAAGTCTTTAACGGAGGACGCAGTGAAGTGTTTCCTTCACTTGTGTCATCGTTCAGTCCATAGGGAACATCTTTAAAGGTCTGGCACAAACTGGAGCTTGGGGCTGCTTTGATGAGTTTAACCGAATCACTGTGGAAGTGCTGTCAGTGCTGGCAGTACAGGTGAAGACCATACAGGATGCCATTCGCAACAAGAGGAAGAGGTAAGGTTTCTTTCGTTTTTAGATCATCTGAATGGTTCATATGAATTATATAGGCATGTTTTAACTATTGTCCCCTGCAGGTTTCTGTTCCTAGAGGAAGAGATTAGCTTGAAACCCTCTGTTGGGATCTTCATCACAATGAACCCTGGATATGCTGGACGAACTGAGCTACCAGAGAACCTCAAAGCACTTTTCAGGTACAGCTTGATCCAAATAAAGTGGGGTTTTTTTATTCAAAAATATAGTAGAAATAGTTATATTGTGCTGCTATTTTTGTGAAAACCTTGATACACTTTTTCAATATTTATGATAAATAGAAATTTACCAAGCAATGATTTTTATGACAATATTAAAGTATTTACTGTCACTTTTAATCACTTTATTGCATGCATCCTTGCTGAATAAAAGTATTAATTTCTTTTAAAAAATCCTACACACCCATATATAAAGTATACATATTAAAGGGGTCATATGACATTGCTAAAAAAGAACATTATTTTGTGCATTTGGTGAAATGAAATGTGTTTATGCGGTTTAAGGTTAAAAAAACACATTATTTTCCATATTCTGTACATTATTGTTGCTCCTCTATGCCCCGCCTTTCTGAAACGCGACGATTTTTACAAAGCTCATCGTTCGGAAAAGCGAGATGTGCTCTGATTGGCCAGCTATCCAGTACATTGTGATTGGCCGAATACCTCAAGCGTGTGACGGAAATGTTACGCCCCTTACCATACTGTGATGCCGTGTCACGGTGCGACGAGACAAAACCAATAAAACCCATTATAAACGAGGCATTTGTTGCATCCAGTGGGGACATAATTACGGATTATAATGACTTATACTGTCTTTTTATGTGTTGCATTGCATCGCGCCGCGTAAACATAAAACCATGTCTGCATTTGTGATCGGAGAAACGACAAACAACAAGCGCTACTCTAGACTGCTCAAAACTCTTGTTTGAATCATCAGTGGCACATTCTTTAAATATGAAAACATACTTACAGGCTGTGAGTCAGAGCAGCCGGCATTGTAGGCTACTCTCCCAGGTTCAGGTAACAGTCCTTCATAAAATGCGTTGCACACACACAAATATTTGGTTTGAACTGTTCTGGAACAGTGTTGTAAATACACTAATTATTAACTACATATTTAATACGTTTTACTTTTTTATTTTTTGGAATGTTGTTAATATTATAATTATCAGTTGATATTATAATTATGGACAACTGAAATGTTAGTTTGACCAACAAAAAAATGTAGTAAAATGAACTTTAATTAATATAACATGACAAACAAAGTAAAAGCCTAGATTTAAGCTGTTTGCACCAGCTGACCTAACACATTGTATCAGATTGCATTTGTCACATGTTGTGTAAAACTGTCCTTTCTTTAAACGCTGTATCAGCAGTGTATAGAGGAGTTCATGAATGTGTTTGGCAGGCCGTGTGCAATGGTGGCTCCTGACATGGAGCTGATCTGTGAGATCATGTTGATGTCTGAGGGATTTCAGAGCGCTCGGGTTCTGGGCAACAAGTTCATCACCCTCTACAGGCTCTGTAAGGAGCTGCTCTCTAAACAGGTACGCTGAGCTAAGAGTTAAGGTGCCACTTGTCCTGTTTGTGCCTGCTTTTGAACTACATGTATATTCTCTGCTGTAGGATCACTATGACTGGGGACTGCGTGCTGTCAAACCTGTCCTGGTGGTTGCTGGAGCTCTCAAAAGAGCAGATCGGACTAGGCCAGAAGATCAAGTATTGGAAATTTGTTTATGTGCTTGATGCATAGTAGGGTTGGGCCGATAGACGATGCCATCGTCCATCGCCGATGGCTGATAGACATCACG